CCATGTTGCTAATTTGCTCGGCAAGGGCGTGTACAGGATCTGTACCAGGGGAGGGGTAACGTTACCAAAGTTGCGAGCACGCGAAGGGGGGGTCTGGGGCCCTCGCCCCAGCGAAAATTTTTAAAATTAGAGGCTTCAGAGTGCGTTTCTGGCGCGAGGCAAGGGGGTCGACTCCCTGGACCCCCCCTGTACACGCCCCCTGCTCGGGCACAAAGCGACCAGGCGAGGGAGCCAAGCGACCGAGGGGGGGGAAGGGTGTGGAGGGGGGTGTGTCACTGTTTGCACCCTCCCGCACGATGAGATTTTGGCAATTATTACACTAAATGGAGGCGACCTGAGTGAAATTCTTGCAAATTTTCAAAAAAAATTTTGGGCTTGGGGGTGCTTCGGGGGGGGTTTGTTCGAAAGCCCCCGAACCCCCCTGCTACGGGCCTGACCCTAACACTAACCTAACCCTAACGCCTAAACATACCTCATGACTCGACTGAGTCATATAAACATATAAGCATATACCAGGAGCTATAAATAATGACAATCAAATTGTCATTATTTAGCGTCTGATACATACTAAACAACCCTAATAAACTACCCGGGTAACATATCTGTACTGTAGTCTGTAGTAACCGATACGACAACGACCATCTGCCCTACTTCTAGAGCGAGGGAATAATATCATGGCATAGCCATAGCATATACTAGGGTAGGTATCGTGAAAGTGAAACTCACCATGCAGCGGCAGATCTTTCGCTTAGATTTTCAGTTTTTGTTCTACAGTTGAATTTGAACAAGACTAGCTGGTTCTAGAAACTGCATTAGAACCTGCATTACAATTCATTACTGCCGATCGGGCGAACTGGTGAATGTGTGTCAAGAGACCATCATGTTGTAGCACACAAATCATAGCGTAGTTGCGCATTCAGTTAACGCAACGCGCGCCAGCATCCACACCAACGCACATGCGCAGTAAACAACTGGCCTAGCGCAAGCTGTTGCAGCGGCCACTGACGCAACGTTATAATTCACATTAGGTTATTTAGGTTATTAGTTCGGTGGCGCAGAAGGCTTACCACAAATACATAATCGCACAACACAAATGCCAAATACCGCAACCCAAATGGCCAAATTCCCGCAACACAAAATGCAAACGTCACAAACAAAATCAAAGCGTCACAACACAAATGGCAAAATTCTACACACATATGCAAAGCGCACAACACAAAGCAAGACGCACAAACCGCAAATGCAAAACGCCACAACACAAGCAAAACTCCACACGGCAAGATGCAAAGCCGCCACAACACAATGCAAAATTGCCTGCCCGCGCCCGCCCTGTACGTGTAACTGGGCGCATTGTATTCAGGAGTAGATAATCAGGATATCTTAGCTCCATATCACACTCTGATTGTATCCAGCTGTAACGCCCCTCCCCCTGCCGCACACACGTCTATCACGCTATATGGCCGGTGAGAAGGCTGTAGAGGAGGAGGGGAGTAAAGTCTGTGGCAGACGGAGGAGGGGAGAACGGGTGGCGAGGGAGGAAGGGAGACGCTGCCTCGTAGAAAGAGGAGGGGAGAAGGAGAAGCTGTGGAGGAGGAGGAGGGAGAACTTGGTGGAGGAGCAGGAGGGGGAAGGGAAGCTGGTCGGAGGAGAGGGGGAGAAGGGAGAAGCGGAGAGAAGGAGGAGGGAGAAGCTGTGGAGAGAGGAAGGGGGAGGCTGTGAGACTGAGAAGGGAGAAGCTGGTGAAGAGGGAGAAGGCTGGTAGTGAAAGAGGAGGGAGAGAAGGGAGAAGCTGTGGAGGCAGGAGGAGGGAAAAAGGAGAACTTGTAGAGAAGGAGGAGGGGGAGAAGCTGTGAGAAGAGGCAGGGGAGAAGGGAGAATGCTGGTAGAGAAAGGAGGAGGGGAGAACGGAGAAGCTGGTGGAGGAGGAGGAGGGGAGAAGGGAGAAGGCTGTAGAGAAGGAGGAAGAGGGAGAACTGCGTGGAGAAGGAGAGGGGGAAAGCTTGGTGATGAAGGAGGAGGGGGAAAGGAGAAGCTGGTGGAGGAAAAGGTAAGGAGAACTGGTGGACGAGGACGGAGGGAGAAGGGAGAAACGCGGTGGAGGAGGAGGGGGGGAGAAGGGAAGCTGGTAGAGAAGAGGAGGGGGAGTACCAGGCTGGTGGAGGCAGGAGAAAGGGGAGGAGGCTGGGGCGGTGACGAAGGAGAAGGGAGAAGCTGGTGAAAAGCGGGCGAAGTCCTGGGTAGAGAAAGAGAGGAGGGGGAGAAGGGAGAAGCTGGTAGGATGAGGAGGAGGGAGAAAGCTGGTTGAGAAGGACAGGGAGAAGACGGTGAGTCGAAGGAGGAGGGGAGAAGGGAGAAGCTGGGTGAGGAGGGAAGGAGAAGCTGGGGAGAGGAGGAGGAGGGAGAATAGGGAGAAGGCTGTTGGAGGCGAGAGGGAGATACGAGAGAAGCTCGGTGGAGGAGGAAGGGGGAGAAGGAGAAGCTGTAGAAGAAGAGGAGGAGGAGCTGGTGGAGAATGGAGGAGGGGAGAAGCGGTGAGACAGGAGGAGGGGAGAAGCTGTGGAGAAGGAGGAGGGGGAGAAGGAGAAGGCGTGGTGGAGGCAGGTAGGAGGCAGGAAGCTGGTGGAGGGGGAAGGGAGAGAGAGAGAGAGAGAGAGAGAGAGAGAGAGAGAGAGAGAGAGAGAGAAAGAGAGTGGGATAGAGAGCGGGGAGAGTGAGGGAGAGAAAGAGAGAGAGAAAGAGAGCGTGGGATAGAGAGGATGAGAGTGAGAGAAGAGAGAGAGAGAGAGAGAGCGCGAGAGAAAGAGAGAAAGAGAGACTGCGGGAGATGGAGAGACTGAGAGAAAGAGAGACTGGGAGACACACACACAGAGAGTTACATAGAGAGGGAGAGGGAGAGAGTGAGTGTGTGAGAGAGAGAGAGGGGGGGGGAGAAAATGAATTAGGCACGTCTTACGGGTCGATGATATGCGACGTGACTCGTGGCGGTGTTCCTCTCAATGCGAACTGGCCTTGGATGCATGCGGGCCAACTAATGAGTGGCTAAGTAACTGACTCCTGCATACACACTCAACCGTGTCTGACGTCGCGCTCAAAGCTTTTCCTATTTCCGAGATAATAAAGCCACTACCGTTTACAGCACTGGAGATTATGCCAAATAACAGTACGATTCTATCGACGCCCATGTCGTGTTTGTAATTTAACACCGTTTGCACACCTCACAGTGCTTTTTTGGGAGAAGTAAATCAAACGTAGTCTCAGAAATTGTGGTCGAGCATGACCGCTCCAAACACAAGATTTCGCGTCACATACCCACAGAGAAAGTAATAAGAGATGTATACACAGAGATGTATACACAGTCACAACCGATCCCTAGGATTGGTATAGCAAAGCTGGGGAACGCTAACCTTCGCAACGCAGGGTTGGATATTGGAACAGGGAAAAACTACCTAAATCTGGTACCAGACTAATTCTAAGTCAACCGAGATGCGGAACAGCAAAAATTGTGATTGCAATTAAACAGGAAACGGGAAATGGCATACGTTATACCTGCGAAGTTTGGAATAAACCTTCATCTCCATTCCCACTTCAGTATAAGCATGGTACGTAGGATATATGTATTTAGTGTTTTCAGCTTCCGTTAGTCCTAGCTAATACGTAAGCGACAGTTATGTCCGATCTCAGGGATATGTAGCCAAGGCAAATTCTGGGTGATACTTCATTAGGAGTGTTCCCAACTTTAATGTCGTTAATGGTCATAATAACATATAATAATATATATAATATATTATATGGTCATGCGTCATATATTAGTTTGTGGTTTAATGTCATTTAGGTTAGGGTTTAGGATTAATCAATCATTAATCATTAATCATTAAAGATATCAAAGTTGGGAACACTCTAATGGAGCGTTAGCCCAAATCTTACCTGTGTGTGTGTGAAGGGGGGGATGTAATCACTTAACTGAGTAATGATGATGGAATATGCCAACACGCAATTATTCATCCTAGATCAGATCACCGTATAGGATACCTTTGGTTCCCACATGTTCCATTGGAATATAGATGTTGTAAATGCACCATAAACTACACTCTTCATTCAAGACAGCCTAGAGGTGAGCGCACAATTAGATATATTTTGACGTTGGCCTGTATACGAGTTATCAGTTATATATATATATATTTATATATACATATATATTATATATTTATATATATATTTATATATTATGTATATTTATATATATAAATGTCAATGATTGGACAAACTACATCTGGCTTGGCTACTATTCGTGTACACAGCTTAGCTACACATGAGGCAAAGTCAAAACACAGTGCTCACTAAATTGACTACGTGACGAATTTTCTATGGTAAAATTTGTAAAAATTTTGTTGCCATTTTTTACATTAAAAGTAAGAACTAACTTATCCGTCTTAACTTAAGAACCAAACGTATCGTCAAATTCTTACCTGATAAGATTGTTTCTCAACTAGTTAAAAATCCAAAAAACCTGGACGATTTGATATTGTACGTGTTCCTGACATTAATTGCTTGCTATGGGCTATACTATGTATGAGTCACGAGTGTATGTTCACCTCGAACAATATAGTAAAATAAGAAGTATAATGCAATTTAACCATAAAAAGTGAACAGAATTACTTATATTTTGTGAAAAAGTGGAAATATTTTTTTTATTTTTACTATTTACGGTAGTGTTGGAGATCGGTCAAAATTTCATGACCGATCATCGGTTTTACAAAACGACCGATGATCGAATAATCATCGATCATTTTAGATTGCGGCGACGACGCGTCATCGTCGACACAACCGGTGTATTGCGAAGGAATATTGACATTATTGTATGTGTAGCTAGTATTTAATGGTAAGTAAATTAAGGATACTGTTAGGGTTACGGACGGGCAACACTCTAAAGGGCATTGCAACATAACGGCTCATCAAATTCAATAAAAAAATATAAAAAAGTTCGGGTTGTACTCGGTCGTCCGATTTTCTACTCGATTAATCAACTCGGCAGCCCAAACGAGTAATGATCGACGAACTCGATTAATCGGAACACCACTAATTTACGGTGACGTAATCACTTTAATACCACGAGGGAAGATCCGCCGTACGTCGCTACAGTGTGACGATTATGCATGTTAGAGTGTAGGCATAGACTTCGAAACCTGACGTATAAATCTACATAATTTTTTTGACAAAGTACTGTTGTATTGACCACTGACGTCACAGCATTAATTGTCAACAGGTACACTTGCATTACGCCACGTAAAGAACCTGTTAGTTCTACAACAATTTATGGCCATAAACAACAGTAGTTATATAATCGATATAATCGAGGTATAAATACGATCATACCAGGCATAGAGTGATCAAGACCACGAACACATGTGCTAATAAGAATGTGGCCTTACAAAGCGAGGTCAATGGGATGGGGTTAATAAGGACTAACTATCGTATATCTAAAAGAGTTGACTCAACAGTCAAAATTGTCACCTTATAGTTACAGAAGTGAGACATTTGGGTATACACGTTTCATATTAATCCACTCGTGAACAACTGCTTCTGTTTAATTTCATAATTATAATGAAATTACATTTCTTTTGGTAGATACTTGGCATGCATCTGTTTCAGTTTATTAAGAGTCTATTGTAATACAATAATACAACATTAGTATCATCAATGCATAATTATATAGATATACTTACTTTTACTTGCAGTTTTTACATATGTACAGAATATATTTAAATAATGCCATGAAATAAAAAATGAAATCACTAGTAGGGTGGTACTTAAGCAGTTTGTTTGTCTGCTTTCTTTGATCCTTCATTCTTTAGAAACTGCATGAACGACTCCCTCTCTTTCTTCTCTTCTTCATCTTCTGCAATGAAAACGATACTTCATGTTAGAGATACACTATAGGCATAAAACATACATCATCCCATATGAATATCTGACAAATACATGTTATAGGGTATGAGGAGCCTTGTCACTAACACCAAGAGGATGACGAGGTAGCAAATTCCAGTTACGTCTGTACGACTGCCACATATAAGCAGCACTTCATATAAGAGACAAATGAATACACACAACATAAGAACACCCTACACAGATGTACCCCTTCAGAGGTCATAACGAGTTTAGATTTGTATCCAGGAATCGTCTTTCTATATCTTATTGTTGTAAAATGAAAACGCAAGCACAAGTCGGACCTTCCTCCACAGGAGAATTGTCGTCAGAATCTTCAGATTCAGATCCTTGTCTGATAACAATGTCATCTGATGGGTAACCAGCTGCAACAGAAAACATCACATTTAGAGACTTCAACTCACATCAACCCTTGCTGGCAATAACCCTCAACCCTGTGACTAAAATTCTTCTGTCAACATGTGATATATGTGTAGTGTTATAAAAATGTACGATTCAAAGCATTAACATGCGCATTTACAGTGTCAATCAAAAGTTTGGATATTGCAATGGAATGCTTTTGATATATGCAGGAGTTTTTATAATTACTCACATGTCGATGGTTTTTCCATCACATCATCAGGGGCGGCCATGTCTGTACGTAACCTTTTGAGCTCCTCCTCCCTTCGATGCGACTCCTTAGTGGCCTTCTCCTCCCTCATGCGGTTGTAATGTTGCCGATAGCCACTAGATTATGCAGAGATGCCAACACATATTTGAAGCAATCTGTAGTTTCTGGCCATCAAATTAGTAGTTCGAGGGTCACGTAGTGACCCCGAGTTTGCTAGGGGATCCGGCATGCCCCCCGGAAAAATTTTTGATTCTGAGATGCAATTTCCTGCATTCTGAGGGTAAAAATGACAATAAATTGACAACAAATTTTTTTTAAATCACAGTGAAATTCGCAGTTTGATACAAACTGGTCGTAGTGGTCCAAAAATAATAGAAATTCGTATAAAATACGAATAAATCGTAGTGGTTGGCATCTCTGGATTATGTAAGACAAGTTGATAGATTACTGAAGGCTTGAAAATGTGACTAAATTAATCATACATTCAGTGGAGTTGTCTTAATTTGAAACATACATTTCAACAGCAATAACAATAATAACGTGAAATGAAAGTGTCAATGACACTATAGCTCACCTTGGGTGTGATAGAAGAGGGAGATAATATTTAAAATTTGTAAGTGTTCATTATGACGGCTGGCAAAATGTGATCAAATGTCCTTTATTCCTTGTTTTATACTAATAGAAATGTCACTGTTTTGTTTCAGGGTTAGTTTTGATCCCATTTTAATTTTCGATTATCGCGCAAATAAAAGCAATAAAATATTCCAGTCAAATTACTGTAACGAAGAATCTAAAACACAATATTACATGTAGGTAGGTAGGTAAATTTAACAAAATCGAAAGAATCTAGATAGCCATTTTCATTTTTGCCAAAAAGTGCACGTGGCTCGAAGTAGGTCGACTGGCGTGGCTCCAAAATAGACGTGCAAATCTCTCCCATGGGAGTAAACAACTGTATGCAATTTGAAACATCGGTTCTTAAGTTATCGTTGACCGTAGGCAGACACTGAAATGCATAGTGAAATTGCCAAAGTCTACTTAATTTGCATAATTTTAAAAAAAATATCAAAATCCCTGTGATATGTTTTGGGGCCAGTACTTATTCATTCACAAGGTACAAAAATTTGCAAAAATCCGTTGAAGGCCTGAACTGACTTATGGCGCATTTCCGATTTTTGCCAAAAAGTGGGGCGTGGCTGCGAAAGCAAGGTCAAACTGGCGTGCTCCAATAGGACGTTCACGATCTCTCTCCATAGGAGTAACAACTGTATGCAATTTGAAACATGTGGGTCAAACGGTTCTCAAGTTATCGTTGACCGTAGCCAAATGTTGACGGACGGACGAACGGACGTACGACAGACAACGCCCCATGGCAATAGCTCATCTTGACGATGTCAAGGTGAGCTAAAAATGACTGGTATTAAGAAATAAGTATGAAACTAATTATTTATGAGCTTATATGCAACATGCTCTTGATTAGTTCAGTGACAGTTTAGTTTTCAGTTAGTTTTTCAGTGACAGTGAAATTAATGAAAGTGTTCAAAGACACTGTAGCTCACCACAAAAAAGGACACAAATGAGTGAGTAAGAAGAAAGTCAGTTTTAATTGAGCAACCATCGACGTACATTATAGAAACGATTGCCATCTGTATATCGCAATAATAATTTATAAAACCAAAATGAATCACAATTTGTGACCCCGTAGATGGCGCTATACCCGCTTGGAAGCGATGGCGCTGAAATAAAATAGGTTTATGCTGCATTCCGGCATGTTTTGTAATCTTTACTCTATATAGACGTTTTATCGGCAGAGTGGAGAGGAAATACCAATTTTGCATTAAAGACATTGTCAATGAAATCTTGTAAAATGAACCAGACGAGTGTGACACCACAGACTGTTTGTTTATATAATATGCTATATAATTGCCAAACCCTACCTAATTTGGCATATTTTTTTTAAAGATATCTAAACCGCCTACCCCTTACTTCATTCACGATACGCAAAAATGAGTGCAAATCTCGTTGAACCTGAACTGACCTATGGCCATTCCAGTTTTGCCAAAAAATTGGCCGGTGCTTCGAAAGTAACGTCGACTGGCGTGCGCTTCAGAAATAGGACGTTCTATATGGAAGGCATCAGCAGTAACAACTACACCGCAATTTCAAACACAATGGTGGGTCCAAAACGGTTTCCTAAGTTATCGTTGACGGAGCGAAAACTCAAATGTTGACGTACGGCAAGGACGGACGGCGGACGTACAACGGAACCTTAGACGAACCGGCATGGCAATGAGCTTCAAGCTGACAGATTCAAGGTGAGCTAAAACATGCTACCGGATGATGTAAATTAACTGTAGCTACATAAAACCTGTGATTGGCAGAAAGATTCCAACATTAAATCACCTGAGGTCATTCCAGACCTTGCTTCATTCAATTGAGCTTGGAAAAATTGGCCAATCCAGATCCCTGTGACAGGCTGATATTTCTAGCTGACTGTAGAAAAGCAATAGCAATTGTTTAAATTTAATATGCAAAATTATTTACAGACTAAAGCACGGAGTTTCTAGATGATTATATAGGGATCAGATTGAGAATGACAAAATAACAAAATGGAGAGGGCTATAGGTTTGGAAAAGCTGGCAGCTAGAGGAAGAGAGAGAGAAGAGAAGACAGGAGAGGAGAGAGAGAGGATAAGAGGAAAGAGTAGAGAGATAGAGAGAGAGGAGGAAGAGAGAGGAATGGCAAGAGAGATGAGAGAGAGAGAGAGAGAGAGAGAGAGAGAAGAGAGAGAGAGAGAGAGAGGAGAGACAGTGAGGAGAGAGAGAGAGAGAGAGAGGGGAGAGAGAGAGAGGAGAGAGAGAGAGAGGCAGAGAGAAGAGAGAGAGAGATTGGCTAGAAGAGAGAGAGAGAATGAGCAGAGAGAGAGAAGAGAGAGAGAGAAGAGAGATGAGCAGAAGAGAGAGGAGAGGAGAGAGGAGAGAGAGAATGGCAAGAGAGAGAGAGAGACACGAGAGATGAGAGAGAGAGAGAGAGAAGAGGAGAGAGAGAGAGAGAGAGAGAGAGAGAAGATGGCAGAGAGAAAGAGAGCAGAGAGAGAGAGAGAGAGAGGATGAATGGCAGGAGAGAGAGAGAGAGAGAGAGAGAGGAGAGAGAGAGAGAGAGAGAGACGCGAGAGAGACAAAGGAGAGAGAGAGAGAGAGAGACAAAAGAAGAGAGAAATAGAAAGAGGAAGAAAGCACGAGGACAAACCTTAAGATCACTGTAGAAGTCATCTAGAACTAGACTCATTGAGCGTGTAAGGTTGGACACATAAGATGTCTCACTGTCAAGAGCTTGCTGGAAAATCTCAAAATCCGTCATCCAATCCACTGCAAACTGGTTATCCACTACATCAACCTATAATGCAACACACATGATATATAACAGGTATTAATCTATTTCAAGTTAGATTTTAAGCATAGAAAATTATTAACAATATCAATATTTTATTTACACAGTAACATATCTGTTTAAAATGATAAAATAGCCAACCATAGCAAGGTAATTGTAGGGTTTTTAAAATAGGGAGAATCTAACCTTCATATAACATGCATTCTGAGCATGAAGGTGTTTAGTTTGATAATATTAAGTGTTTGTGATATTATGATTTAATTCGTTATACTATAGTAAATAATCGAATGCTATCAGCAGGGTGGGTCTGGTAACTGGATATCTGACCTATCTTGGCTTCACCCTTGTAGTGGCAATACATTGACGCACTGCGCCCCCTATATTCAGTTCAGTCACTCGCTCCAGAATCCATGCAAAAGATGGGTCATCCCGCACATCCCTCTGACGACCGTAGATTAATGCAGCCTTTTCAATCCCACTCCAGGAGAACACCCATCTAACTCAGTCACTGTACTCACTTTTCATTTCTTAGTGATTAAACTTATGGATTACCATAATTATTCATAATTATGACTGCATCTAATTAATGACGTCTGGCTAAGCTTCTACAACTAACAAACTCACCTTGTTCATAGCAACTATGAAGGGGAGTTTATACTTGTACATGATGCTGCAGGCATAGAGCATGTTAGACATGAATGTGACTGGATTGACACTACGTGGTGTGTCCATCACGTATACAATCACTGTAGGAAATGCAGATGCCTGTGAAGAGAAACGAATCAACAGTGAAAACTCGATAACACATGCCCAACTTATTTTTACACATAATTACGCTAGGGTGTTTAATTATAATAGTTAAATCCTTCACACGCCTATATGGCGTATAGGGTGGTGACTATCTCCTTTTCAGTAACCCTGAGGCCCCGCAGCTGCTTTCACAGTAAATGCTACAGTAGGGGGTTAGTCCTAATCTGGTAACTATCTGATATGGTTAGGGTTAGGGTTAGGGTTAGGGAGTAGGCGTAGGCGACTCTCTAGACTCGTTAGTGGAGTAGGCGAGGTACGGTCCGGCATATTAGATAGTACCAGGGTACGTTCCAGCAGTACCCTGGGGGACATAGACCCTCTCAGCGACATATATGTGTGTGCACGTGCACGTGTGTGTGTGTGTACATGTAAATCAGAAGTGAATAAAAACAATCACTGACACACATTGTTTTTATTCACTCCCGATGTACATGTATATGTATA